CTTCGGGTTGCGACCAATTCGGGCTGCGACCAGAGTCATGGAACGAATTAAGTTCGTAACCCGAGGTACCACTGTAATGATTTAGTAATAATTCAACCTTTACCTTCGTAAACCTGGACTTCAGTGTATCCATTGCCTCTGTGATAATCTTACTTAAAAATTCTTTCAGTGCATCTAAGCTGCAGTGAAGCAACAGTATGAGAAGACATCGATCTACATAGGCTTGCTGGGTTGTATTTGAAAGAAGGGTTTCACTCTGGAACATTTGGTGCACGGTATCCAACAACAGTGTTTGCCTTTCACAGCTGCCCCTAAACACCACAGTAAATTTAAGTATGATCTTCAGCCACATTCCTACTTATAAATTATATGCCATCCACAATCTTTCAGAGAATTCTTTCTAAAGCAATGACTCATTTAAGTCATAATGAAATAGACACATATTTTTAAGGCAAATATAACTTAACTGATGCTACAAACCATCATTCATACACACACACACACACACATATATATACACACACACACGCACACATATATACATACACACACACATATGACATATCTCCAGCTAAATGTCACAACCACAAGCCACATCACTGCTATGAAGAAATAATGTTTTCTGTTTTCTCCAGTATGAGCATCTCTGATAGCAAAGCCAAATGAAAATACACATAAACATACACACACAAAATATATATAACGATTTCAGTGAGCACCCTTACCATAGCAGGCATCATTACAAATTTTAAGCCTAACATATTACTGAACTCTTGTTATTTAATCATATTGTTAATAAAATCTGATTAAAAAAGTAAGTTTTACTGATTACCTTCTGGCAATTCTTTTGAAGCTGATCTTGAATAATTCCTCCATTATATGTTTATGGTCCCTACAAAGAATTTTTGTTATCAACTCCAATAATGTAGAGTTCTGGGATAGTTCTAGTGCATCTAAAAACTAAAATATAAAAGAACAATTGTGTAGTTAGGAAATATGGTACAGGAACTTAGTAAAGAGTGTATAGCTTTGTGTTCCAAACTTTCTCTGAAACCAGTATGAGGCAGTAAGTCATCAACGTAACAGCTCTTTTTTTAAAAAAATGGAAGAGAATAAAAATTTATTCCAATAACCATACAATAATCTGTTATCAATAACTATACAATAATCTATATATATTCATTCATAACTTCATTTGCAAAAAGGTAGAGCGCCTACAATACAGACAATTAAAAGAAAAAAAATCAGAGATAGGACTATATTTCCATATATTAAAATGTACTCTTAGAGTTATATACAGAAATTCATTTTTGTTTCACGTATATTTCATAAAGCATTTATTTATTTGGACGCCTATCTCACTACGGCAACTGTGGGCGCTAACAGCATTTAAAATTAAAATACAAACATGAAAGCCCTTAAAAAATAAGGTTTTTAGAATTTTAAGATTATGTCAACTGACAATTTTGATTCCTGAAAGTATAAAAATATTTAAGAATTACACATGTAAATCTAAGTAAGTTTTTAAATTACAAAATCTTATTAGAAATGAAGATATACATTAAAATGAAAACAAAAATCCCTTCTCGGTATAACAGTCACATAGTGAGTTTGTTCCTACAGTTTAGTACATAGATTTGTTTGCTTTATTTCAGTTTGGACTTAGCGTTAGTAATATGGTAGAAATACATAAACTATATAAGAAGTCATTATAGATTTTTTTCACTTACTTTTTTTATGCAATCCACATAGTTATTGTACCTTAAAGTTCCCTTAGGAAACTCATCTGATCTCAAAGGGAAATTAAGTGCTACAAGTTGATCAAGTGCATGTTTAAGGCTATGAAGTCCTTCTCCAACAAGATTAGTGAAGAATGGTAGAATAATAATTGCTTGACTCTGAAATATATACAATTTACAATGTTTCATGTTAAATCTAAAATTCTCCTTTCTTTCAAGAAGCTTTGATGGAAAAAATAATACACCAAGAACAAGATAGGAGTGGTAAATTCTGTTCTGATTAAGATTAACCAGTTTTCACACTGAAAATCTGAAAATGTTTTATTTCGACTCTGGTTAATTACAAATTTTGGATAGCATTTGGACTAGTGTAAACTATAAGCAAAGTTAAGATTGAATGGGGGAGACAAGGTATAGAAGGGGCAAGCTACCCCAATATCCTTGCTCAGATGTAACAAACAATAGTTTGTTATCTCTAGCTGGCTTGTATGTTTGACCATTATCCACACAAACCAACCATAACCTGAAACTGCCATCAACCTTAGCTTCAGTTAACTGTAGAGTCTGTTGCTTGTTCCAAAACTAGTATTCTTACTTATTTGTTAAGTGCTGAGAAACCTAGATTACAAAGGAGGGTTGGAACCACTCATACGGTTAAGACAGACTCTTGCTGATACTTCCACAGAAATCTTCAACCCTGTTATTTCTGTCTGACGATCAGAAGTTTTTCTCATTTTCTTCCCTACTGAGAATGCATTCCTTTCAGTACATCTACCCAACAACAGTAATTATATGGGGTTTGGCTTCATGTACTCACAAAAATCCTCAGTACAGATATCCACATTAATATCTATCCTTAAATGTTGATATTGGCACAACTTCCATGAGGCAGTAATTCTTACTCAGACCTACCCAGGATCATTAAGAGTTGGGTGGCACATAAGTTTAAATAATAATCATAATCATAATAATCATAATAATAGTAGTAATTCTCACTGCAGTTCAAGTTGTGATTTTTTCTAGTTAATCACACATTTGAATAAAGCTAAATGGCCACTGCACGCAACACATTCTTTGCAAATACTTCAGATTCTTTGCTAACATTAATACACAACATACACAATGAACTTACCTTGAGATTTAGACCCAACTTCTGGTCAGTAAGTAGACTTGTGTATGTATTAAAAACATGGGAAAATGCCTCATGATGAGTAAATGACACTGAAGAGTCAATCTGGAAAACAAAATGAAATGAATGTTGAACTGACAAAAATATATTTATCAGAATAGTTATCTGATAGTATGCCACAACATTTTCTAAAATAAATGTTGAAAAATATTTTGTTTTTGTTTTATTTTTATGCGTGTGTGTGTGTGTGTGTGTGTGTGTATGTATATATATATATATATATATAAATAAACTGAAAGTAAATCTATATTAAGGAAAGTCTGTATTACCTGCCCATTCAATACTTTTGAATGCAGAGCCCTTAAGAACTCTCACATCAATAACATTAACAAATGCAAAAAACAGCAGCATAATGCCTGTTCAAATCAAAGCATTCTTTCAAAGGAATAATATTTTATCATAATCTAATTTCCTATTAATCCCAACACTAAATGTATGCAGACAAGTGAATAACAAACAGTCTCAATCATACAAAGAGGTTTAGTACTATGAACAATCTGATGCAAGATTTGAGCCATTTTTGTTCACAGTGCAGGAAATGTTGGCAATTTCAATTGTGTAATATCCATCGTATAAATACAGTTAATATGAGGAGAGATGCTGCAATATTTATAGAAGTGCAATAATTATGGGGCCATGTCCCATACATTTTGAGATGCTTGGAAAGGGGGACTGAAGACCAACATGCTGCAGCCATGATAATACAGAAACTTATACAAAGATGTGAAAATAAATGTACATCCAATACTTCTGAACACATTGAACTTCTTTACCCTTTTCAAGCACTCAGGATTCTGCCAAGGTATCCTGATATAGCTACAGTCTTACCTGGATAACACAAATAAGCTCAGTTTTCAAGTGTTCTCAGCCTAGGCCACTACATTAACCTCTATGATTAAGTGCTTTGCTAGGATGAGAGAGGCCTCTTTATCATGACTAGAAGCACAACAAATGAAGAGTTAAAGTGACGTGCAGTTCCTAGGTATGGATGGGATCCTGGTTTTACCTTGTATCATCATCTTGAAATGACTTTTACAAATGGAGAATGCTGTAACTTGCTTGCACAAGCAACTATATAGCATACTCAGACTTTTTAAACCAATCATGAAAAAGCTTCAAGCCTAAGGAAAAAACAAAGCTACAATACTGGACAGCTATAGTAATACCACCTAGATTTTTAAAAATAATTATTCCAAATTAAATTTGGATATTATAACGTTAGGAAAATTACCCAGAGGAAGCTGCAGCTTCCCTATCAGGCACTGATGTAAGCTACTGAGTTAGTATAGATATAACTTTACCTGCAGAACTTTAGCCAGTAGGGTCAAAACAGACATTTTGCTCTCAGGAGAAGAATCTTTGGCCCACCAGTGGTCAAGATGCCCCCAGTGTTTTAAAATAGCAGCAACTAATTTCACTCCTTGTTGCTTGCAAGTAGCACGGTCTTTAAAGCTTTGATCCAACATACCATTCAAAACTGTACTAACCTGCAATGTAGGATATTGAAAATATGCAATATTGACAGGATTTTATATAATTCAGCTATCATACTGGAGAACAAAGACACAAATGTGCAAGATAAGCAATTAATAAGTACATTTTTAGATGGCTTTCCCAAATGCTAGAAAATGTACTTCTAAGGAACTAAGAACGTAAAATCAGAATGTTCTAGTCTCCTTCAAAGCATCCATTATTTGTAGGGTAGTAGCAAGAAGATCCAGTATTGGATCTGATCTATTTATCTAAATATGCTGCCCATCTACAGAAGTGATGTTCAAGGTAAAAGTAACAAAAAATAAAAAAATTCAACAGAAATAAAGAATTATATTATAGAATCAATGATAAAAAGGGAAGGATAGCTAAACATACAGATATCTTTTCATTGTGAATTACTTTTTTGGGAAATAAAATCTAAAAAATGAATATGTTAGCAGAACATTTTAAATGAAAAGTCCAGTACCATTTTGGGGCTATCTAAGGCTGATTTCATAAGCTCAAGTACAGCAATCTCCAGATTTTTCAGCAACTCTCGGTTAATGGTTTCTAAGAAGAGGCTATAGAAATACTCTCCATGAGAAAAGTTGATAAGATTTTCTTGGGATATTCCAGATAACGGTACTGATAACATCAATGTGTTCAACAGGAGGCTCACCAGCTCTGTGCACTAAAGGAATGAATATAAAAGAATATTTTTGTGATTCAACATTTCAAGTATATGTTCTCAAAATCAAAAAAATACAAGAGTTAAGTACAGATCATTCCTATCCTTAAAATGCTGGAAAAGCTGAGATCCCTGTCATCAAGTGCTCCAAAGAAAAGGAAACACTGATATTCACTATAAATTATGTTCATTCTTGACAGTCACCAGGAAATGTATTTCAATGGACAAACTGCTCCATTTTTTACTACACAGAGGCAGAAGTACAGAAACAGAAATCTTTCTTAGAAACAACACATAGGAAGCAACTACTTTACCAACTCTAAATCTGGAAACAAAACACTAAACAACTTGGACACCAAACAGGAAGAAGAACTGGAAGGGAGGGGTCAAGAAGAGGTTACAGTGGGGCAAAAAAGTATTTAATCAGCCACCAATTGTGCAAGTTCTCCCACTTAAAAAGATGAGAGAG